TCCCTTACCTCCTCATGCCCCAACTGAACTGGTGATCGAAGAATTTCACCAGCAGTACATCCTGCAGTATGGGCCCCCGAAAACTCTTGTGAGTGATCAGGACACTAGGTTCATTAGCAAGGATTGGAAGGACTTCACTGCCCAAGTCTATGACATCACAGTAAACATGACGTCTGGTCGACACCCACAAGCCAATGGATTGGCTGAGGAAATCAACCAGACCGTCACCCAACTGCTGCGCGCGTTAATTGTGCCAGACCAGAACACATGGGATAAGGAGTTGCATAAGGTAGAAGGACTGTACAACAACTCCATCCATTCTGCAACCGGTGTGACACCAAATCAGTTGCAGTATGGATGGCCGATGCGTAATCCCGTCTCCTACCTGTTCCCGGAACGGTCACCTGGTCTGATACCCGGCATGCCTGGCTACAATGCCAAGTACGCACGCTTGCTCAAAGCTGTTACGGCAGCCATGAACAAGCGTCAGCATGCCATGATCAAACATGCCAACAAGCTGCGCAAAGAAGTGAAATTTAAGGTCGGGGACTACGTTTGGGTTAAGATGTCCGAATTTTCTGATGAGGAGGGCGTGTCAYGGAAGCTTCTTCCACTATACTACGGCCCTTGGCAGATTCTGAAAGTGATTGGGGATGATTTTGGCCCTTCGTTTGTGATTGACGTGCCGCCTCATCTGCGCACGTACCCAGTCTTCCACGCCTCCAAACTGTTTCCGCATATTGAYGATGAGACTTTTCCCTACCGTGACCCTATGATACCTCGCCCTATCGATGGCGGTCATGAGATCGACGGAATCGTTTCTCATGAGGGTAGAGGAAGGAACAAACAATACAAGGTCCACTTCCTYTATCACCCGTTGAACGAATTCTTCTGGATCGACCGGAAAGAGCTGCTGAAGAGCGCCCCACGTGTAGTGAACGCATATGAACGACAGGTTGCTGATGGACAGACCGCTAAGTTCGCTGCGAAACTCACCCCATTCGGTCTCACTAAC